TTCTATCTCTCGAGGATCGTCTCGGCTCTATTGCTGTTTGAGAGCTAGATTGAGGCTCTTTCTGAACTTGTTCATCATGAGACTTCTGGTTGCTTTGCTCTAACATAGGTTTATGATCTTCAGCATCATTGTTTTATTGTATATTATTATCCTCACGTCAAATTGGAGTAGGATCGGTGTTCTTACTACTTCTCAATCTCGGCCTCTCTGAATTTTTGATATCTTCGATTGTTTGGTCTTCGAAGAAAACAACATCTCTATTGCAAACAACCTTCTTATTGACTGGATCCCAAAGCCAATAATCGAATTCATCCTTAGGTGAATGAAGGTAGATGCATTCCTTCATCTTTGCTTCAAGATTGACTCTCTCATATTTGGGTATGTGAATAAATGCCCTGCATCCGAATACCTTGAGATGATTGTATGAAGCCCTTTTCCTATCCAGACTTCTTCTGGGATGCCCCCGTTCAAGGGAACTGATGGTGTGAGGTTGACAATATCAACTACTACCATTATAGCTTCTCCCCAAAATGATTTGGGTAACTTAGCATGAGAGAGCACACATCGAACTCTTTCTTCAGTTGTTCTATTCATTCTCTCAGCTATTCCATTCAATTGTGGTGTCTTGGGTGTAGTCATCTCTAGTCTAATGCCATATTTTTTGCAATATGCTTCAAAATGACCTTTATACTCGCATCTATTGTCAGATATTATACACTTGATCTTCTATCCGGTCTCACGCTCCACTAGGGCATGAAATTCTTTGAATGCTTCAAGCACTTGATCCTTTGATTTTAATAGGTGCACCCACACCTTCCTTGAATGGTCATCAATAAAGGTGACAAAGTACAATGCACCACCAATTGATCTCTCGAACATCAAACACGCGTTGGTGTGTACAAGGTCTAGGATATTTTTTCTTTTTGTGTATGGAGAAGATCTTTGGAAAGCAACTTTGTGTTGTTTTCCAGCTAAACAATGAGTACAAGGATCAAGTGGTTTGTCATTCACGTCAGGTAGAAGTTGTTTCCGAGCGAGAATGTGAAGACCCTTCTCAGTAATGTGCCCAAGTCGTTTATGTCATATCTCCACATCTTCAGTGGTGATATTTAGCTCTCATTTGCAGAGCTTAGCTTACATCACGTACAATGACCCTTCTTTCTTTCCTCTAGCCATTATTAGGCTTCCTTTGGTGAGCTTCCACTTTTCTTGACCAAAGTAACTTATCAGACCAACATCATCCAGCTTCCCAGCGGAGATAAGATTGTGGCGTATGGCTGCAACATGCCTCACATCTTTTAAGATAAGCTTGCATTCAGTGCTTGTCGTCAGGATGATGTCTTCTATCCAGACGATCTTACTCTTGTCTTGATTTCCCATTTGCACTATACCAAAGTCACCGCTTCGGTAGGATGAGAAGAAACTTCCATATAGAGTAACATGGAAGCAAGCACCAGAATCGACAATCCAAGAGCTATCATCATAAGCAATGTTTAGGATATTACCTTCATCAACGAGATATAACATATCTTCTTTTGATACTACGACAGTAGAACTATTCTCTTCTTGCTTTTTCGTTGGGCTGATTTGGTCTAGCTTAACATTATTACCCTTCTGGTCTCCTTAAAGGATCAACATTCTATTTTCTTGTGGCCCATCCTTCCACAGTAGTAGCATGTAATCTTCAAGCGTGACTTGGATCTACCTCGAGATTGATGCAGATCTAGACTTTTGTTACATCTACGAGTTTCATTCCTACCTCGATTCTCAATAATATTAGCTTCGGGATGAATAAACTCACCTCGTTTCATTCTCCTTGCTTCTTGACCGAGGAGGCTATCACTAACAGTATCCATTGTGAGCTTTCTTTCTGGAGCTGAATTACTAAGTGTAACAACGAGTGTATCCCAACTTTCCGGTAAAAAACTAAGGAGTAGAAGGGTTTGCAACTCATCATCAATGTTTGTATCGTTTTTTGTTTATTGATTTACGAGCCCCTTGAAATTATTTAAGTGCTCAATCATACTTTGACCATCTTTATACTCCAATTTCACCAACCATAGAACTAAATTGACTTTGTTACGAGGCGTTTTCTTTTAAATCATGGACTCAAGCTTTGTCCATAATTCATAAACATTTTTATAAGTAGAAATATATCCAAAGAGGGTTTTATCTGTTGGGACTGTCGGCACACCCCATGGCACAGCGGAAATAAAACTCGACGGTCTCACCAGCGATCCAAGTACGAAAAACTAAAATCGGGAGGAAGAGATGCGAATACTTACAGTGGGTTCCTTGAAAAACAGCAAGGACAGCAGTGAATATTGGTGGTGTAGATCGGTTCGAATCGTAAGCCTCCACGAAATCACGTCTCAGCCTCTACTCAGTTCACCCGATTGAGAGCAATCTTTGTTTTCTCCAAAACTCTTTTGAGAGAAAACGACTGAAGGTTTTTGTGTGTGTGTGTGTGTTGTAAAACGGCTGCTAGACCTAACACACCCTTTTATAGCCAAGTTACCCTAATCATATTAGGGCTTTCATTATTTCAAATTAATTAAATCTATATTTAATTAATTGGAATTTAATAATCCTTTTATATCCAAGTTACCCTAATCATATTATGGATTTTATTATTTCAAATTAATTAAATATATATTTAATTAATTGAAATTAAATATTCAGGATTATTAAAATATATATTTAATTAGCTCCAGATATATTTTAGTAACATACAACAAATTATACATTTTTGCTCATTTCAATCATAGGGCGTGACCTTGTAGGTTCTTGTAATGTTAGCAGTAATTATTAGAACAATTCTAATATTACATACAATGAGTGACATCTAGCAATATATCATTGTCACCTAAGTTACAAGAAAATATGATTCGACATATCATCTTGGTGATTAACTGTTTTATGTATTATATACTTATATCATTTATATCTAGAATAAGCACAAGTCTTGGAATAGTCACACTTGTATAGCCCATCTATTGTTTCTTGATATCTAGTGTAGACTTTAATTAACGAATAATTTATGATATCTCATATCAACTTATTCGAGCATGGCCATGCGTTTCTAGTCTTATTCAATCAAGTGACCTGTGATATATTTCCTATTATGTAGGAAGGGCAAATCATATCTTAATCATACACACCCACTACATATATTGAGATATATTCAATAATAGTCTTTATAAAGCAACCCGTTACGGAGCTTGTTTAGCTGCATCAAAACATACAACAATATATGTTGGGATAATATTGATCTCAAGTCTGAGGATCATACATATAGTCATCACCATGAGCAATGTTATGACTGTCACATAATAATCCAAGACATATACTCATGGTGGGTCAATCCAATATATTGTTCTCTAACAATGTAATCATGTATTAATTCTGACATCTCTATGTCAATGACAACTCGTTATCATCAATCAATAACATGTTAGTCTTAAGCGTATTATTATTGTCCATGCACATAATAATACTTGACTAGGGATCTTTTAATAATAACAATTATGTCATTATATGGACTTTATTATCTTACAGTTTATGTTAAACACATATATATAACTAAAAATAACAACGACAATGCCTTTATTCAATAAAATCGGTAAATAAAAATATTATTACAATCATCATATGATTGGTCTTTGGGCATACTCTAACATTATCAATGTACTTACGGATCATAGCAACGACTTTCCTATTTAGTAGCTCCCATTAAGCATCACTCTTGCCTTCTACCTTGTCTTTGTAAATGATGGCCTCATGCAGATCCTTACAGTACAATTTATCCTCTATCATCGGCTTCCAATATGTGTAGTTATTGGCTGTGAGCTTGAATATGTCTCCATCATGAGCAATGTTATCCTTCATCTTGAACTGCACGAGCTAATTACGGTTACAGATGAACCTTGCTCTGATACCACTACTGGGTATCACGGTCTTTCCCGCTTCATGAAGTTAAGATAGACACTTAGAGATTAAGGATAGTAAAGAGAGCATAAGAGTATAATTATCCAATTTGGAGATTCTTCTACTATACAAAAGAATAGTATGATTACAATGATATTTTCACAAAATTTGATTCACACTCGGTGGCTCTCTCAAGCTTGAGGATAAAGACTTCCCAAGCTATTTATATTCTCTCTCAAAGAGGCTATCTAACTCTCTAGTTTCTCACTCTAAGAAATGAACTCTCTTAGTAATTTTGGAACTCTTGGATGGTTAGGAATAAAGTCTCTCACCCCTATTTATACTACTATACCTCCATAATGAATGGTGAAGATTACTTACATCCAAGGGTGGAGATTAATTATATAGAATGATCCATATGCTCTAAGAAACTCTACACTCTTCTACTACCTTCCATATTCTTCCATACTGTTCTATAGGGTTCCACACATCTCCAGAATATTTCAGAGGATTCCACACTCTTCCACAAGCTTCTAGAGAGTTCTACTCTTTTCTAGAGTTCTCCGAAATATTCTAGAAAATTCTACACTTCTCTAGAAAGCTATAGAATTTTCTAGAACCTCTCCAATTAAGGAGAGATCCAACAAAAAGATGGTTACCTCTCATTGTATAACTCTATTTCATTCATACTAAAAAATTGGAGAAAAAGAAACAGAGGCCAATTGGCTTCTGCTCAATCAGGTTTATATCTTACAATGAAGCCCTGGTAGGTAAAGGAATTAAGCTTCCGGATCCATTTAGTTAAGCTTGAAATGAATTAGACATTAAAAGTTGGACGAAGATGCTTGCTATTTTCTATTAGTCTCATTTCAAATTGTGTCAAAGTGTTTTTTGCTATTATTGGGATTGAATATTCAACTAAATTTTGAATGATGATTGGATGAAATGAATCATGTTTCCTTGCATTGCAGGTATCACTAGTATTTCTTTGGATCCGATTTTATCACCGTAACAAAGTCTGATGATGCTTCTTGGGAGATCCTCAAGACAAAAAATTTTGCTGTAATTATGGAGTTTTATTCCTCTGGACATCATTTGTTTCTAGACTCAACAACTGCAACATCCACAAACACTACTATTCATGAGGTACTTTTTCTAACCTCAGTTTTTCCTATTTTTGGAAGAGTTTACACATATTTGTTGACTGTTTGGTGTACTCTGTCTAAATTTTTTTTGTTTTTATCATCTGTATCTGATATTTTAATATTGGATTGTTTCTTTGAATTTGTATGTTGTAATGTCATGTCTTCAAAGCTATGAAGGACAGATTAAATGAAATTGGCATTTGTTTTTTTAGCTAGAGTTTATCTTGGGTAAAAAAAATATGTCATCAAAAAGAAAATCAGTTTCCAATTACAATGTTTAGGTATGATATTTCTGCAATTGTTGCAAAATCATTCTCCTCCCCACATATGTTATGTAGGACTTAGTAATAAATGGTTGAATTGAGTAAAACATTGAAATAGACCCTAGTCAGCAGCGGCGGATCTAGAAATTAAAAAATGAGGGTCCAAAATTATAATACTCTATTTTTAAAAAATTTGGGCATGCAAATTTCCTTATTTTTCCTATTTCCATTAACAAATTAAACTAAATTTAAAATTTTCCCAAAATAATGGGTGTGCATGTGCTCCCCTAGAGAGCCACATGCATCCACCACTGCTAGTCAGTTCACTTGATTCAGTTCTGTCGGTTTTGGCTTGTCAAGTGTGTTGGAATAGGTTTATTTGGCCATTTTGTGTTTTCTAATTTTTTAAACCAAACCAACAACTAATTAAAAAAGATAAAATCGTATGTTTTTATTTATATTCTTAAGCTCAACCCATTAATGATTATCGTGCTACCCATACTTGAAGATGAAAGGAAGCGAATATGTACCAGTGTGGAAGGAAACGGTGTAATGTTTGTGGGATAGTAAAATCAGTTATTGAACATTGTTTGACTGGAAAATAAAAATATGTGTTTATATTCTTCTAGTTGAGAATTTCCCCTTTTTTTGCATCTTTATTAATCAGAATCACTACCTCATTATTGTGAAGATCTGTGAATCAATCATGTAAATGCTACTGCATGATTCAGGATGATTCTGAAACAATGATCAAAGAATTGCTGGAGACTCAAATTCGACCAGCAGTGCAAGATGATGGTGGGGATATTGAATATCGGGGATTTGATCCGTAAACTTCCTTTTATCCTTATTTGGTTTAAATTATCTTTTGGATGTATAAACACACTTTATTTATATGCTTTTTGAATTATCATTGATTGAACATTTCCTGTTTGCGTTTGTTGAGACAGGAATACTTAAATTGAAAATGCAAGGAGCATGCAGTGGCTGCCCCAGCTCATCTGTTACTTTAAAGTCAGGCATTGAAAATATGCTAATGCATTACGTTCCAGAGGTAACCAATGACCTCTCTTTTTCTTTATTCAGAATCTATTTGGTATGAATATGGGCGGGAGACAATGGGATGAGTGACATTTGAAAAGGAAAGTGATTGGTTTCAAATTGTGTGTTTAACACATACTGAAATAACAAATAGAAAAGGATAAAGTTTCTGGTATTCCATGTTTATGTTAATGTGATTAAAATTAAAAAAATATAATTGGATAATAAATTTTATGAGGTCAAATCTCCTTGCTTGTGCCTTATCACTGTCTACCTCATAAACCTATCAAGAAAACGCATGTGTGAGTTCCATGTTACTAAAAAAATTTGAACATATCCGTGTCGTACTCATACATGTATCCGACATTAAGAACCAAGTTTGCGTTACAGTACTTGTTGACATGGTAAGGTAGTGAAGTGTCAAATTATACCATGTCTGCCCCTCTTTAATGACTTATCACCTTTTATTCCATTTTATTCTAAATTATATCCTCCCAGCCCCCTTCATTGGATCATATAGTCAAGGAATAGTCATCCCATCCTCAGTCCAATCTTGACAATGTAGGATGAGAAGCATTTATAACCTAGCGCGAAACCATCTTTGTCTGCCAAACAATATAGGAAATGCAATTGTTCACTTTTTGGCATGGTTATAATGATCATATCGTCTTTTGACTTTGGTATCTGATGGAGTGATTAGTCTGGTCCGTGTCTCGATACATGCACTGATGCAGGGTTTTATTCCTATCAATGGTTATTAGCTTTAGGGACTCTTGTTGAGTTGAATTCTTTTGTGGTGAAGGGGGTATGCACTTGCTTTAGTTCTCACCCCAATGCTGAAGTACTGATTTTTGTATCAGGAAGGAGGAGGATGAAATAGGAGTTAAATTATATTAAATGAGCATAAATCTATAAGTTGGTGTCAGCATTATTTCACTGTGCATACTTACACATATCAGCTGATTCAGCTCTTGAGTACATGATTGAGATCATGATCTGAATACTAATGGAGTAATGGTGATGGTGATGTCTATGCTGACAAGTACGTTTACATTCTCGGTTTCAAGTTCAATAATAGTACCCGGCAATAGAACTTTTTCCTTTTAATTCCATTCTTGAATTTCAAAGCATACACTGTTCTTGGGCATTAAAGAATATGTTAAATATAATGCATGTTGATTGCTTGTTATTTGTCGTGGAATTATGGAGTATTATAGAGCTCGGCCTCCTTTCTAATCGGTTTCCTTTCAAATGTCGTGATACAGGTGAAGGGTGTAGAGCGAGAATTAGATAATGAAGATGAAGATGAGGATGCTACACTAGCGGGTAACTTGGGAGTAGTTTGAAAGCTTACTTAATCATCTCTTATCACACTGTCTGAAGTGTTGTCGGATAAAATAAATGAGCTCAGAGACTAGCGTCTAGCGGGACTCCCTTTTTGTGTAGGATTTGATCATGTATTATTTTCTAATTTGAAATAATAAATTTAGATTTTATATTTAAAAATAATCCTCTTCAAATGAAAGTCATTATATTTTGTAAATAACTGTTTTTTCAGAAGGAAAAAAAATCCAGCAGAACCCTAATGAAATTTAATTAAAGTTCTTTTAAATTAAAATCTCATTTCATCCTTTAAAAATGTTTTCTTTTACGTTAAATAGTATTTGAATAATCCGACTGATCCTGATGAAAATTCATAAATTATTATCACACCAGAACATTTATTGTTCGCATTTATTCTATTTAATTTTTGGCTTAAATGTATCTTTGGCCCCTAAAGTTTAAAAAGGGACTCTATCCGCTTAAATTGATCAAAATTTCGTTAATTCATGTTGTTATAAATTGGGTAAATTACACCATTCATCACTCAACTATTTTCTTCTCTTCTATTTTGATCACTAAAATAGAAATATGAGGGGCTTTCAAGTAATTTAGCCATGAATATAATAACACATACGTTCAAGTCCAAAATAAAAATTCAGGGGGAAACATGGGGGTGCAAGCAATTTTGCCATACGAAATAAAACAAAACTACGGGACTTGGAAAGCGATTTGACCAAAATTATTAAAACACAAACCAGATCAGGGAGGCCAAGGTTTCAAAATGCGGTCTGAACATGTGACAGCGTCGCGAAATAGCGGTAACGTTGTCGTTCGAATTATCCGCTACACCCGCAATAGCGCTTAGTAGCGCCTGCGACGACCACAATCATGGTAAACACGAAATGACCGAAAACGCGACCGCAATTTGAAACACTGGCCGACGAACAAGAAGCGTCAAGCTGAGACTCTCCTTGAACAAGTGGCGGTGGTCGAAGACGGTACGACTGGGATGGAAGATGGTCGTTGATGGTTCTCCGACTGTCTACACGCGTTTAAAACAAGAGAAAAAGATTGGGCGGCCGACAATATAAACAAAAACAATATCGTTCGTGACCGTCGATTCTGGCGACGACGATCCAGGCGATGTTGGGTGGAGGAAGGCTGATTTTCTCTTGGTATGACTCTCCAACAACACTGAATATTGTATAAAATTGTTTCCCGACTAAACACGGTGGCAGTTCACGGTGGTGGTAAACATATATAATAATTAACATTTTTAATATTATAATCCTATTAAAATTAAAATTTATTAATTAATTAATTTTAAATAAATCATTATACTCCTTAATATTTACATAAATTCCTTAATATTTAAATAAGTCATTATAATCCTATAGTGCACGATATGTGACGTGCGCTATAAACTTTTTCATATACATATTGTCAAATGGTTAAGAAAGTTTAAACAAATACTTGTCTTCTATTCACCTTCAATTGGGTTATTATTTTTATCATTCAAGCTTTGAGTTCTATTTTTTCCAGTTTCAGTCGGTGAGGACTGAGGAGGAGAGGGAAGAAGTTGAGAAATGTGGTAAAATGGGTTAACTACAACCTTAGTTCTTGAAGTCTTTAATATTTTTGAAATTAAAAATTTTTAGAGTTTAGTGACCAAAATAAAAGAGAATAAAATACTTGAGTGATGAATGGTATAATTTACCCAATTTATAAAAGCAGGAATTAACAGAATTTTGGTCAATGACGGTCACATTAAGTTATTTTTTCGAGTTGGAGGACAACATTGATAAAAAAAAATAAAGAGATAAAAAAATGATAAATGCCACATTATTTTTTAAAAAAAACTGCAGAGGCCAAAGATAAATTTAAGGCTTAAATTTTTTAACCGTGTTACGCTGGCTTAACAAGAGATACAATAAATTTTGTAAATAAAAAATTTGTTGATATACTGATTTTGTTTTATATATTACAGAAAAGGTAAATAATAAATCTGGAAGGATTTATCTTATATTTAAAAAATAAATATTTGACTGCGCTCCAAATAGAGTTCCTCAAGAAGAGATCTCTGAATGTGATGACTCAAAATGACAGCGTTTCCTTAAAAATGCAGTAAATAATCCACGTTAAGAATATCGTAGCTATTGGCCCATGCAGGTCTCGAACCTGCGACCTTCGCGTTATTAGCACGACGCTCTAACCAGCTGAGCTAATAGGCCTTGATTTTGGAAGCTATAAGTTTATTATTTAAACTAATTGTAAGAGATCAAGTAGTAAACGACACTGTTTCTTTAAGGATGTAAGTCAATTGATCCCTTTCTTACACACTAAACATTGATTTGTTTTCCATCCATTTCTTCTCCAATAAAAAAAAAGGGGAAAAATAAGCTAATAGATTTGATTGTACTATTAGTCTATTAAATCAGATGACTCGGAACTCGTTGTATTAAGATAATTTTTGTATTTTGACCATGGATAGCGCCCCACCTTTGATACTTGGCGGGAAAATCCTGAGAATAATTTTTTTTTTGGATAAATAAATCCTGAGAATAATTGTAAGAACAAAAGGGTAGTCCTTAAATAGCGGTAGTAGCAGCCACGGCGTTTGAGTGATTCGGTAGCTTTTGTAGAATCGAAATAAAGAAATGGTATCGGAAGCTCCTCTCCCAAAATGGGCATCGACTCCTTGCATTATGGGCATCGACGAAGCCGGCCGTGGCCCTGTTTTAGGTTTTTCATCTTTCCCTCTTCTCCTTTTTATTTTCTTTGATTTCATTCCACTTCCCCCGAATTTTACTGTCTCACTTTACCCATGTTTCCTCGATCGATTTTCTTTTGGTTTTCTTCGTTTCAGGACCTATGGTGTACGGATGCCTTTACTGTGCTCGCTGTTATCAGAAAACTCTTGCTACCTTGAATTTTGCCGGTTCAGAATTTCTTTTCTTTCTGCTTTCCCCATTTAAGCTCAATTTTATTTCAAAGTTTAAATCGTTGTAAAATGATATATTTTGCTGCTGGGCACTTCATATTCATACTGAAGAACGTGGCATTCAATTATTTTGGCCGGTGTAAGCATATAAATTTTAAGGAAGATAAGGGTTTCGTTGAGGAAATTAGCACTTGAGAATGTAAATTTTGGTCTGATTTTATTTCAAAAGCATTTTTCACAAAAATTAATTAAACTGATTGGTGGTTTTGATGAAAGGCTTGTATTTTTTCCTTCATTTCAAGCTAAAAAAGAGTTGTATGCTTTCATAAGTTTTATGGCTTCCTTTTGTGTTTATAGATTCAAAGACTCTAAAGGAAGAGAAAAGGGAAGAATTGTTCGAGAATTTAAAGGCTGATGAATCAATAGGGTGGTCTGTTGATGTTATAGATCCAAGGGAGCTCTCAGCTAAAATGCTAAAGAAGTCAGTTATTCAAATTGTAATATCTTTTAGTTTTTCCTTTGTGCGTTTTTCCTTTCATCTCACTATATTTCACATGTTGGATTGCTAATAGGAATAAGGTGAACCTGAATGAGATATCGCATGATTCTGCAATTGGTCTCATCAATAGGGTATTGCACATGGGAGTTCTTCTAACTGAGGTACAACTTCTCCTAAGCCTTCTGAAATGAGCTTGCTATTGCATAAAACTGCTGTTTTTACACGAATATCTCTAGTGAATTTTGGTACTTCACGAGCAAAATAAAGTAAACTCGATGGCATGTTGTTATTGTTATGAGACATTACATTGTTTGCATTTAGATGCTGTAAGCTAATATTAAATTATGGTTGGAATAGAACCAAACACTCTTGGATGATGATTATGTCATCATGTATAAGGAAAGCTTGGCAGAAATATTAACCATATCGCATAATAAGTCATATTTTTTTCGCTGTGGTAGATATTGCTTGAGTACTCTGGTTAATCTAAACAGGTTAATGAATGAACGAGTATGGGTGATAGGATTTTACTCTTAGAGTTTGAATATTCTGATTGATCTAAAGGCATAAGTGGTAGCTATTGCTTGAATATTCTGATTTATCTAAAGGTGTAAAGAGGTTCATGGAAGGAATTCGAGTATCGGTGATATGGTTTCACTCCCAGGGTGTGAGTGCACAACAGCACAATTAGTAAACAATAGCTCTTTTAATATCTTCAAAACTTTATTCTTTCATGCCTTCAAGTATACTGTACATCTCATTGAAGACTCAAAATGTAAGAAAAATGATCTAATTCTGGTAAAATAGGAAAAGAACTGATACATTCATAATCTCATTGCTCACTCCCAATTTCTTAAAATGTAATCAAAATCTGATAAAAATATCATATATTCCAGGATATCTAATTTAAGAGTCTTGAAAGTCAATTACTCATAAACCTATTTTGGGTCATCACATGTTAAGTGAGGTGACTATATTGTTATGACACCTATACCTAGGAGAGGATGGAAAAACCTTGCGAAGGTAGCAAAGGAAAATGATATTATTGAATATTCTTCCTAATTTAGTATCCTTTTAAAATTAATTTTTGGCAAGATTTAGAGATCTAGAAGCATCCTTTTGTTTCAAGTTTTTCTAGGGGAATCCTATGAAGGGTAACGATTTCATGTCCCTGTTTCAGGTTTACCTCGATACAGTTGGAGATGCCGACAAGTATAGGATCAAACTGTCTGAAAGATTTCCCTCCATTAAATTTGTTGTTGCAAAGAAGGCTGATAGTCTTTATCCAGTAGTGAGTGGAGCAAGTATAGTTGCTAAGGTAATCAGCTCCTCATTTCAATTGCTCACATTTGGTTCGTTCAAAATCAAAACTGCTTTTATTTTTATTTTTAGTTTATTTTATTTTTATTTAACCATACAGGTAACGAGAGACAGAGCCCTGCGAGAATGGGTGCTGGAGGAAACATCTGAAACATGCATAGGAGTTTTGGTTCTGGATATCCAGGAGGTTGGAAGTGCTTTACATTATCATATATATATATAGCAAAGGTAATTAAACAAGGAATCTGGTTATCTTTGATTTGTCTAGATCCTGAAACAAAAGCTTGGCTGGCACATCACAAACATTCAGTCTTTGGGTTCCCATCACTAGTCCGCTTCAGTTGGGGTACATGCACTTCATATTACAAAGATATGGTCGAAGTGTTATGGTATTTGCTCAAACACTCAAATTTAATTTTTAAAACTTCCCAATAATTGTGCTTGGTCTTGTGTTCACAATGTTATAAAGTCTGTTTTGGTGTTTTAATCAAGAAAATTCAATGATTTATTGTTCATTTGAAAAGAAACATATACAACAATCTGCTGGTCGGTAGAAAAGTAAAGACATTGTTGCCTTGGCATGCCTCTAGAATTATTTATGTTTATGGACGGGTCTAGAATTATTTATGTTGTGTGTGATAGGGAATCTGATAAAGTGGATGAAGATTTTGCCAATGGCAGCAGCGGGAAGCAATTGAAATTAAGTAATGTTGGATTCAGCACGGTGTCAAAAAGAAAAAGTGAAGAAATAGAATCGAGTGGCAAAGGGAGATGTAAGTTCTTCCAGTCTCGTAAGCTCGAGCAGCTCACTCATTTCTAGGAATGCACTTTAGTTTCATGACTTGTTTTTTGGTTGAATGCTTTTGGTTTAATCTGTGGTTTCTATATTTCTTAATGTTATTCCGCGGTCATACATCTTGCTCTTGGTTATGTAGAATGTATTCCTAATTAAAGATTGTAAAACATTTAACCTTGCCATACAATTTTGCTTCTTTTGTTTTGTCCCTCCCTCAGGCTATGCTTTATTTTCTCGAATTGATAAATAAAAATTGATAGAAAGAATATAATTAGAAAGACAAAAGTGAAAGATTATTATTATTATTTGGTGTGCTGAATAGAATATATGAAAAAGGTGAAAATAGGATATATTTTATTCAATCTTTACTAAGTTAAAAAGAAAAGAAAAAACATGATTTTACAACTACAAAACATACGTGCTATTCTTGTAAAATTGAAACTGATTTGATCAGACATTTTATTGATTGATCTGAGATACGAGTCAATGATAATATAAGAAAAATAGAAAAGAACCACAAAACCAAACTTTAATTTTTGGTTTAAGTATACAAAAAGGTATACAATTTATGACATTTTTTTAACTTCTCGTTTATTTTATTTTAGTTTGGTGCTTAAGTTTCATTATGTTACTTATTTAGGTGTTTGGGTCGTTAACATCGTTAATTTTTTTGTTAAGTGACATTTGCCACAATTTGGTAATTTTAAAGATTTTATTTTAAATTAAAAAATTAAAATTATATATATATATATATATATATATATATATATATTAAAAAAGAAAACACATTTTGAAATAAACTCAAAACTTTGAAAACCTTCATTTCAACCCTTAAACCTGCATTGATCGTCGCCTTTTGTCGTTGACGAAGCTTCACTCCCCTCCCCTCCCCTCGGTGACCAAAACACCTAAGAAATCATGACCGATCGAAGGTCGATTGGTCGTCGGAATCATGATTTTCATCATAGGGTTCGCGGGTATAAAACATTGATTCGTCATCGATCAGTCGTGGATCAATCATGGTTTTATGGGGGTTTTGGACGCCGAGGGAAGGGGAGGTCGGGTGTAACTTCGTCGAAGGCAAAAAGCGACAGTCAGCATGGGTTTAGTAGTTGAAATGAAGGTTTTCAAAGTTTTGAGTTTATTTTCAAAATTTGTGTTTTATTTTTAAATATATATAGTTTTAATTTTTTAATTTAAAATAGAATTTTTAAAATTACTAAGTTGCAACACGTGTCACTTAACGGAAAAATTAATGCCGTTAACGACCCAGACATCTAAATCAGTAACGGAATAAAACAATAAACACCAAACTAGAACGAAATAAACGTTAGGCACTAAAGTAGAAAAATGAACATAGATTGAGCACCTTTTGTATACTTAAGCCCTTTATTTTTTTTACTTGAATAAGCAGTCTCTAATCATTTTATTCTAACATTAAATCGTATTTATACAAACTTTAATTCATTAATCATCCATGAGGTAAAAAACATTCTACTGATTTTATAATTTCGTAAAAAGTTTTAGTCCATTTCAATCATGTAGTGCGTCTCTAATATTGCATACTCTAGATAACATCGCTTAAAGCAAAACTAGAAATTATTACCTTGTGTTGTGTCAAACAAAGAGTTGGAAGAATAAATGGGATGATTAGACAACAAAGATTAATAGTCTTCCGTCATTTGATTCCTATCATCCCATTCTCAAGCTAATTCAAAAAGAAGACAGGTACCTATGCAATAATATAATATGAAGCCATATTTCTCAGGCAACACCAGAGTTTGAAATCTCATTTTTCAGTCGAGCTCCAATTGCTCTTCTCTTTTTATTTACCTCTGATCTTAACTTTAAGCGTCCAATTAAACCTTCCTTCTGGGAGCGGTATGGATTTTGGTATCCGTAATTGCACATCAAACATTCCAAACGTCTCCAAAGGAGTTGGAAGGAGCAGGTTTTCAGGTTCGATTTTAACGCAAAGCTGCCTTGCAATCTGAAACAGTATGGAGAAGATTATTCAACAATGGAGTACATACATGGAAATAACAAAAACATAGTGTTCCAAACGTTTATGATTAGGCTCATTAACAAAATCCATAATTCCAATAAGATACCATAAGCTTTGTTTTTCATTTAGCAAAGAAACAAGCTGATATATCGTAGAGATGTGAGAGAAAGTGAGAAACTATTATCATCTATGCATAACACCGCCATACCTCAGCAACAAGTTCATCTTTTGACACAGGTGAGCTCAATTCAATTGGGTCGTCTTTAGTAGAACGGCCACAGAACTTTTGAACATTGATAGATCTCCTCAATACCTATAAAATGCAATACAAGTTATACACTAATTCCCAAAAAAGGCCGACATAGATTCAATGATTGTTTTCAAGCTTCAACAGACATTTTATAAGAAGATAAGTGTTCACCAATAAAAAAGTTGAATCAATTATCACTTCTAGCACTTTCCAGAAGTTCAACAGCTCTACTTCAAATTCTTAACAACCACTGTTTAACAACATATGCATAGTTTGGCGGTTGTTAGCCTGCCCTTAGAAGGCAAGGTCCAATGTTTCAGTCCCTCAAGCCTTAAATTTGTTTCTCCCAAACCCTTTAAAATGAAAACACACACATACCGCCAATGGGTCGTTTGTTGTTTAGTTGCGTTCATCCAGGAGTAGGGGGATAAAAGTATCAGAAAATTAAACCTGAAAAAAATATTTACTAGATTAAGGGCTTCATGATAGGGAACTAACCAGCCGGCTATAAAGTAGACGATATGCTGCCTTTTCATATTCTTTGGTCTTATCTTCCACATTCTTCTTTGTAACTACTTTAACTTCTTCATCCTTTGGTTGATAAATCTGATGAGGAAGTATATCACAGGTAAGTTATCATTTAACTGAAAATAAAAAGTACATATATCCAAAATATCAGAAGTGACTCCACCGAATTCAAGACCTCAAAACGGTAACCCAATTTGATAAACTAGATAAGCAGAATATTCTCTAAAATTAAGAATGAATTTCATCAGTATCAAATATCCATAAGAAACATATGAATCCTCAAAAAGATTGATAGAGTGAGAAAGTAAGCAAGAACTGATATAATTGCATTAGGAGGCATATTTCCTCTATCAGGCTGTGATATAAGCTGATACACATCTAAGAAAAGGCACTTCTTAAATTATAACCAGCAAGAACCAACCAAAAGACAACAGCAACATGAAACTACTGTTACCTGGACTCTTCTCTTTTCTTAGAATATCCATGTCAAAGTATCAAACACATTCGGATATGGATAGAAGAGTAGAAAAACTTAGGAAAATAAATGAACATATCCATTTCTAACACATACTTATATTGGCATTCACTCCCTAAGATGGACTATTCATTTCCTTGATATCTTTGTGCCCGACATATATTTGTACATAGCATAGAGATATACTCCTCCAAATATATTAGAAAACTTATAATCAACCAATGTGTCAAGCTTGTTTTACCTTAAATGTGGCATTAGAAAAGGTTAATACTAAAAGAATTTGTTACGCATAGAGATGTGCTTGTTTAAGGGAAAACAATTTGATACATATTTTCTTCGTAAATTAACAGTCCAATTTTGATCAGTGTCAACGAAAAACTGCTTTTTTTTAATAAACAAACAGCATTGAGCATCAAACACAAATTGAAGAGAAGAAAAGCGACCTTACGCTGTTCCTTAATGAGATAAGCGAACTTATCAATATTAGGAACAGCAAGCAATTTTGGCATCAGATGATTGCGAAAATAACCGGGAGCAACTTTAACAGTTTCGCCAGCTTTGCCAAGCTTCTCAATGCTCTAAACAATGGAAGCAAAGCAAAAATAAGCATCATTTTTAAAAATGAAACAACAGAAAAAAGTTTAAAAAAAGATTATCCAATTGAAAGATTCACCGTCGTAAGAATGACGTCCAACTTTCTGTATCTTACTCCTTGACAAGCATAGAACAGAGGTTGCATCAAACGATCATGGCTTTGGACATTCGTTTCTTTGATGATTTGCCTAAGGGCATTTCTACCACGCTGGATATAAGCCATAAAGTTCTAGATTTCAAGTATTTGAGTTTGGTGGCGGGGCGGGAGATAAACACGCCGGCGAACGGCGAAGTTTGGAGCTCAGATGGATTAGGGTTTTTTCGGGAGGGATAAAAGCTAAAACCTCTTATTTCCTCTGCCTTCCTTTTTGCTATTTTGTTTTAAAATTACCCTCTTTAAAACGACGTTGTTTGACGTTCGTAACATCTACTATTCTTGTCTTTTGGGTAAACTATGTATTTGGTCCCTATATTCCAATTAAAATTAGTTTAGTTTCTATATAATAATATGGCGAAATCGAATCCTACATTTATATTAATCTATAAACTTCACGGAGTTTACAAAATATGCCCGTAATTAGTTTTTTTATGTTTTGTAATTATTTATTTCGACAGTTATAAACATTTTTTCAATGATATTATTTTAAAATTTAAATATTAATAAAAAGTTAAACATTAATAAAACAATACAAAAAATAAATATTAATAAAGTAATAATTTTGATATTAATAGAAATACAACTTTAATCATTCGGATTTTGATTTAATCATTCTTCAATGAGTTAATTTGACTTTGGTTGAGGGTTGGCGAAACATCATTATTGAGATAGATTTCACTATGGTGGTCAATCTGTACAACAATGCGAGTGGTACGAGTTTTACGATTGGTGTCCATTTACAACCTATAAGGGATAATTGTAATGGTTTCAATAGTTGTTCGGTAACATGTTTGTAGCAGTGGCAGATTTAGAAATTTATAAATAGGGGTTCAAAATTTTAATTTTCTTTTCTTAAAAATAATGGGATGCAAAACTTTTTATTTTTTTCAATTTTTCTAACATATTATACTAAATTTCACTTTTTTCCCCTAAATAATGAGAATGTACTTGATCCCTAGGAGACTTAGTACATCCGCCCCTAGTTTGTAGGGAATCAAATAAGGTTCCCCTTCCTTATAGCTAAACGAGCCATCAATTGTAATGTTTCCTTTTTCTTCGAGGTTGAATATCATGAGATCATTGCAAATGTTGTAAAGAACAATTTATTACCTGATTGATTAATGAATTTTGGGTAATCTTTTCCCCTTATAGGATCCTAACTTTGCGTCGATAGAAGGAGTTTTTAATGAGGCTCGCCTTTCTTTCAAAAAAAAATAATATTAGATTAAAATCACGTAAAAGGACTATATTACAAATTTAATATTCATTTGAAAATCAATATTTGATTAAATTGGAAGTTTTTTTATAAATTGAAAGTTGATTTTAATATATATATTGAGGTAGAGTACTTAATTTAAACTTAATTTGATAATTATAATATTTAAAATTAAAATATATATTTAATGTATTGATGTCATATGATTTTATGTATTATCAGTGAATTAGATAATATCACATCATCTAATCTGATGATGATGTATAGAATTATATCCTACCCATATATTATATCTTAACTCTTAAAATTATTTTAACTTTTTCCAATGAAAATAAGTGCAAGTTTGTTATATTTGAAAACAATTTTTTTTATTTATTTAGTTAGAAATTTATTAGATTAAAAATTAACAAAAATTGTATATTTATCTAAAAATTAATTTTTAACTATCTAACTACATCACTAATGTTTGAGTAAGTTTTTCGTTTTCTCACTAAAATTTTAAAACTAACAAATTAATCATTAATATTATTGATTTACAATAAAATGATCACTCTACCATTACCCTATTAAATTAATGACATAACATCATTAATAAAATAGTTAATATTTAATTTTACCCCTGAAATATAACCAAAATATCATATAGTTCATTGAACAATAATTTTATGCCTAAAAACCCATCTTCTTTTATGGTAATCTCGCCAAGGTTTTCTCCGCCTTTCCTTTCCTTCCTTTTATCATTTCTGGGTTTTTTTCTATAGACCTATATTGAGATTGTGGGTTTCCTCTCTTCACATCGACTCAAGTCCCCTCGTCGATAGTACGAAGAATCCGTCAAATACCTATTATCGCACTCGAAACAAAATTCTTGGTTGCTTCTTGCAGCTCTATCAAAGTGAAACATCGACCTAAGGTTTACTTTGTATGTTGCAGTTTGACTTATAAACATTTGCTCGATTGTATTTGAAAGTTTCCTAATTAATTTCATATGTAATGGCTCTCGTTTTGGGTTTCAACTATTCCAATCTAATTGGTATGATACATTGCTAGGGACAGGGACGAAGCCACCGTTATGGATGGGAGGGGCAGCTGCCCCCAACATTGACAGACTTATTACATTTTAGGTCATTGGATATTTTAAAACTTCTACAATTAAGTCCTTTCCCCCAAATTCCTTGGCATAATTATTTTCTGGATACCGTCGGTTTTAAAATTAACAGAATCAAATCTTGACCCAAAATTTATCTTATTTAATTATTTTTTAAGGCATTTAAATTTTAAAATTAATAGAATTAAACCCTCAACTCTTAATTTTTATAATTTAATTATTTTTTAAGATCCTGTTTATTTTAAAATTAAATAACTTGCCCAAAAGATTTAAATTAAAATTACAATAGGTTTTTGGTTACATTTTGTTTCTCGCGATTATGGCAATAGCAGGTGCTATTGCGATAATTATGAGTATCACAATTGCGCTAATTTTAAATAATATCTTTACCACTTCCCCACCCCCAATTTTATTCTGGCTTCAGCTATAGATATTCAGAATAGATTACAAAAGAACTTCTCCATAAAGTCCACATTACAGCACCTGAGATGAATTTCCAAATATGAGATGTCAGAAGTAAATCAAACCAAGAGTACATAAACGCCTTGGGATTATTAGGCAAGGCTGTATATATATTCCACAAACTTAGAAATCGCACCCATAATCCCCAAGCTATATTGCATGAGAAGAACAAATGACAAACAGACTCGTGCTCCAAACAACACAGTGGGCAAAGAGGATCCTCGATCCCACTTACACCACGTTTAATTAGAACAGATTTAACAGTCATCTTCTGGTGAAAATTTTGCTATAGAAATGCTTCCACTTTGGGAGGTGCAATTCCAACCCAAACAAGCTTCGACTAAGACAAATCCGGATCGAACTGTAGCTTTATTATTTAACCCTTTATTCCGTAAGAAATATTTTTGGTTCTGTTCGAGTATTGTCCTGAAAGTCTAAGCACAAACTATTCTCGCCATTCTTGTTGCCTAATGTGTGCTTTTCATATGAATTTTCTTTAATTAGCTCTTCCACTATGCGCTGCCAAGTTTGTCTCTTTATACATTACATATACAGACCAAGTAAAACCGTATCTAATAATCTGCTTTTTGATCTCCTTGTAGAACTCTTCAACTTCCGGGATTGTGTTGAGGATTTTGATACTGTTTTTGCCAACAAGTTCTACCATAGTCAGATTTGCATTCTTGTTTATTTTTTCTCTTGTAGAACTCTTGATGATCCAGATGAGCTGATCTGCATTCTTGTTTGTTTTTCTCTGCTGTATTCCTTTGTCCTTGCGTTACTCAGATTTGCAGCTACGCTGGGCATCATCTATTTTGCAGCAAATATAAACTCCTCATCGATAGTTGCTGCTGCATCTCTTGTTGCACGGACCCTCTATCTTCTTGCAAGTGATAAAAAAGATTTAACCAGTTCGGCTCTAAGTGAAATCAATGTGAACGCCTCTCTGGTAGAAGAACTAATTAGTTGCATGTTGACATGTAATCCTGGTCTGTCATGTGAGTTGGTTAGTGGCTATATTAAGAGCATCAATACATGTCCAAGCCATTATGTTGGTGTTGTTCATGGAGAACCTTCCTCAACACCTTACCCCAATCAGGTGGATGACGTTCAAGGTTTGTATGGAACTTTCTGGCAGATAGAACATCAATTCGAAAGGGCAATTCTTCTGTTTGCTCAGAGGATTGTGGGAAAAATGGAGTGTGCATAAGAGCAGAACTCGATGGAAAAGGTGTTTGCGTTGTCTCCACAACCAGGTAACTTCTCAGCTTGAAGTTTCTAAAAGCATTTTGATTAAGTAAAACCCTGAATAGATTTGCATTAGGCGAGCATTATGAGGAGCAGTGCATATTACTGCTCATTGCTTGTGCCTTACCTCATCTTTCATGCTCTGGATTTCGGCATGTTTTGTCTGATGCTAGATGATGATTGGAGGATATAAACTGATTCAATGATATGGGTAAGGTGAAAGTTCTTATCAAGTCCTTTATTTCATGGATTATATCAATTTAATCGTCCACTATTAAATGGATAAATCTAATTCTCTACTATAAAATGAATCAATATAGTCCTAGTATAGAGATTGATTAAAATTATTCCTTCTGTTAAATGAATTAATTTAGTCCATGTACTAAAAAAATAATGTCAAATTTTTTTATAGGTTTAACATTTATTATTTAAAAATGATATTAAAATCATTCTTTTCATTTTGGGTTCAACTTCAAACAAAAAGACTTCATCGATAGGGCCATAAAATCTACGAAACTATTAACTTTATTGAATAATAATTGATTTTTCTAAACAAGAAATGTTAGATTTGTAAAATGAATTGAAATTGTTCGATTCATTTTAGTAGTACAGAGAGTACTAGAGGGATAACTTTGAATCGATCTCTATATTATAGGGACTAATTTGAAACAGTCTCTATAATTGAAGGATTAAATTGCTCCATTTAATAGAAAATGGTACTAAAAATGATATATTCTCTATAATAGAGGGACTTGGCAAGGACTTCCACCAGTTGATAAAGAGAGGAATCTACATTCAACGAACCCGGTCGTCCCGCCTGTAAAAGAAGCACAGTGGAACACAAAGACTAGGGGTGGCAATCGGGTGGGGGTGGGGAACCGAAAATTATGGAGATATGAATCAAAAGGAATGGAAATAGCCGAAATCTTCACTCCCCGAAATTTAAATGGGGATAAGAATATAGATTAATATATTCGAGTCGTATAGATAATCAAATCGTACCGATGTAAATAATAGATCTCAAATATTTTACAAAAATAATTGTGAGGAGCCTCGAAAAATATTTGTAAGATTACGTGTTACCACTGTTACATTTCAAAATAATTAAAATTGAAGTTTAGATATTTTCTCATTTAATATACATTGATTT